CCCCAAAACCCCAAAACCCCACTTGTAGTTATAATCAAATTATTGCGAGCATTAGAAATTAAGTCGGACACCTTATTATAATTAAATATAAAATGATAACTAATGTTTTCATTATAGTAGAGCAGAGTTTAGTTGCTTTATTCACCTTGATAATGCTAGCCAAATATGCTCATGTATTCTATAAATTCAAATTATTCAATCTTTAGCCGAACTCTGGATATTTTGTGAGGTTTATTACTTTCATTGGTTGGTATATTGGATTTGCTATGATAGCATTACTTCCAATGGATATGCTTTTTGTAAGATTGCATCTAAAATAATGACTATTAGCAATAATATAGAAGTTTATTGGAGGTTGAAGAATAAGAAGCAACTAAAACTACTCTAGAAAACATGTGGACAATCTACTATTTCACATCATTTAGTATGTGCTGGATTGTGTTCCCTTATCTCTGCGAGTATGTGAGTGTGGGTGAGTTTACAGTCATGAGTAGACTCAAAAGTAGTTTTGTTAATATTCTATATTTCTACTCTGTTGCTGGAATCGTTTTCAGTGCTTTCCTAGTTTATCTTTGGACTTAAAACGCTTTTAATAGGTAACATCTTAAAATTCAAATGACTTTAGTAATAATTTCTTGGGATTCGTGATTGCCTTATCAAATGCTTGGGGTCTTTTCCAAATCATTATATTTCTTGGGTATGGTATTGTCACTGTTCCTCAAGCATGTTTCAAACATACAGGAGTTGAAAAGCTATACAAATATCAGATGTTCAAAATAAGTTATTATGAGACAAACTATGAAAGATCTTAAGTCCACATGGAACAATTAATTAGAGATACTCTAACTTTGAAGAATTGCATGAGATCAAATGATCAAAATCATTTTTATTTAAAGATTGTACTAAGTAATTGCCCTGAAGAGGCTTTAACTTATGTGGTACCGTATGATAGTAGAGAATAAATCTAGCTAGATTACATAAGAGGAGATTATGAATCTCTCGTTTAACTGAACAAGGATTGTAAATGGGCTGCTCTTGATCTTGTGAGGAAAGAAGTGTAATATGAATAAGAACTTGAAAATGCCTTTTATTATGAAGACCTCTATAGAAATTAGTAAACTTCAGCAGACTATAGAATCTATTCGAGATTATTTAAATTAAGACAGGGCAAGTTTGGGAGATGCAGAGATAAGACTTATTTTATTTGGAACATCATTATCATGCCAAAGCTCTATAACATCATTGGACTTATTGCAATAGCTCTTTCACTCCAAATCCTGGCTGGAGAGATGATTATTTTATTGGAACTCAAGTACTCATTACTCAGTTTGATCCCATAAACAACTATCGGCCAGATAATCTCTAACGTTTACTCGCTAATTTTATTGTTCTACCTTACTTTCTGCATTTACTATGGTTGCTTTAATGTTAAGTTCTGCAGCTTCTATGAATTACATCCAAGAAACTAAACTGACTCTTTCTCTTTACTTTACTCTGCGTTTTTACTCACCAGACTTGCCTCCTCTCTTTGTATCAATTTCCTCAAGATCATACATTTTGAGGGCACCATATTCGCTAATGTCATTGGAGCCATGGATCCTATTCCATTAATTGGCAAAGAATTTTAGAACTTCTTTCCCATTACTCTTCTTGTGCTATGTATTTTTAACTACTTCAATGTTTGGAGTAAATTTATGTACTTCATTGGATTGGATGAATATACATTCTCAGAAGTATACAACGAAGACTTAGTGCCAGATGGAGAGTTACTCTCGAAAATAGGTAATAATACTCTTCAAATTTAATGAAATCTTAGAGAGGACTTAAAGAGAAGATGAAATGATAAAGTACTATTAGAGACTTGAAAATGAAGGTTATAGTCCAAAATATGGATATATTTACTCCTCTTAATACTTTATTGACAATCCTCAAAGTAATTTATTCATGAATCTAATTATTATAGAAAAACCAATGTCTGGAATGTTAAGGATTAGAGATGATGAAATGGATAAATATCAGCCGCATGATTGATAACCCATTAATACATAAAGTTTTTTTTCTAATCTTAATTTCATAATTTATTTAAATCAAATTCAATCCTGTCTTGCGGGGTTTTGGGGTTTTGGGG